ACGAGGAGCTCTGGTGTGAGTTTTTATTCATTCGCTGTGCTGGGCACCTGGTGAACCCCGGCACCTGGAACTCACCTGGAACATTCTGTTCCAGGAAAGCTCTTATGTTATTGCATTGATGATTTCCTCTTGTTTTCTCCCTTCTCCTTATGACACTCTGTGGGGAGCAACTCGGACTAGACTGTTACTGGAATTAAGACTTATTCTATGCATCTGCTCTCCCACAATATGGCGCTGAGAAGGGAGTAACAACTTCTACGCAGCTGCCTCTCGCCAACTTGAGTGATGACCTGCAGGAGCTGATCCTGCTCCTGATTGGAGGAGAGCAGCGTACTCGGCGTGTGGGTAGCAGAGTTGGGATTGGTGGAAGAGGACTATAAAGGAGGAGAGAGACAACATGCACCAGGAACATCTATCTGAAGGAACACCTGTGCAGTCCCGAAAGAGCTGGCCGGCGGTGTGCCGCTCCCCCGCGGAAGTGGGGAAAGTGGCAGGGGGAACTGCCCTTCCACGGAGGTGGAAGGGTCGGTAGCCAACCCGGGAAGAACCAGCAGCAAACCCGGGGAGGGCCGAGCAGACAAAAGAACAGCGCAGGGTCCTGTGTCGTTCCTCCGCGAAGACGGGGAGCGACAACACTCCTGCAGGTTCACATGGGACTTTCAAGACAGACCCTCTAACTTTCTTATTCTTCTTGCATATTTTCCATTGCTTCAACTTCGCTTCTATTTTACGTAAGATTTCTCCCTTATTATCTCCCAACCCTTTCATTTTTAAAAAAGTGGCTCATTCTTTTAAGATGTATTTATTTATTTGAAAGTCAGAATTACACAGATAGAGAAGGAGAGGTAGAGAGAGAGAAATCTTCCATCTGCTGGTTCACTCCCCAGTTGGCCTCAATGGTCAGAGCTGCAACCAATCCAAAGCCAGGAGCTTCTTCCGAGTCTCCCATGTGGGTGCAGGGGCCCAAGGACTTGGGCCATCTTCTATTGCTTTCCCAGACCATAGCAGAGAGCTGAATCAGAAGTGGAGTAGCCAGGATACAAACCGGCGCCCATGTGGGATGCCGGCACTGCAGGCGGTGGCTTTACCCACTATGCCACAGCACCAATGTGTCTCATTCTTAACCTCAAATTTTTCTTCCTTTCTTTTTTCATATTATTTCATAGTTTTTCTGGACAGAAAAATAGCTCCTCTGATCTCAATGGGGGATATTAGTCATTTGAACTTTTTATCATTAAATAATTACAAATTTGCAGGAAGCTACAACCAATGTTGTACAGGGAAGTCTTAAGTAGCCTTCATTTATTTTCCCCCAATGGTTACCTCTTTTTTTTTTTTCTTCAAAAATCTATTTGAGAGATAGAGAAATGGGAAAAAGAGAGAAATGGGGGGGGGGTGGAGAGAGAGAGACAGGGGCTGGTACTGTGGTGCAGTGGGTTAAAGCCCCAGCCTGCAGTGTCAACATCCCATATGGGCTCCGGTTCGAGTCCCGGCTGCTCCTCTTTCCCATCCAGCTCTCTGCTATGGCCTGGGAAAGCAGTAGAAGATGGCCCAAGTCTTTGGGCTCCTGCGACCCATGTGGGAAATCTGGAAAAAGTTCCTGGCTCCTGGCTTCAGATCAACTCAGCTGTAGATGTTGCGGTCATTTGAGGAGTGAACCAGCGGAATGGAAGACCTCTCTCTCTTTCTCTGTCTCCACCTCTCTCTGTAACTCTGTCTTTAAAGAGAGGGAGAGGGGGAGAGAGAAGGAGGGAGAGGGAGAGAGAGGGGGAGAGGGAGAGAGAGAGAGAGAGAGAGAGAGAGAGAGAGAGAGAACACATTTCTATCCACTGGTTCACTCCTTAAACGTCCACAACAGCCAGAAGCCAAAGCCCGGGGTTTCCCATGTGCGTGGCAGGAACCCAACTGCTTGAGCCATCACCTGCCGCCTCCCAGAGTCTGCATGAGCGGGAAGCTGCCGACAGGACCCAGAGCCGGCCCTGAACCCAGGTGAGCATCCTAACGGGTGTCTTAACAAATAAGCCCTGTGCCTGGCCCCAGCTTCTTACATTCTTAGAATGCAATATCAAAACCAGGAAACTGACATTGGTTCCACATCATTTTATCACTTAAGGTACACAACCACACAAGTCTGTCACTCTGTGGGCACATTCCTTCCTCCGCCATAGAGTATGAATTTAAATATCTTCTGTTTCCATCATGATCTGTTTCATCTGTGTCCTATTTTTTCCTCCTCCCCTCCTCTCACCTCCCCCTCTCCCCCTCTCTCCCTCTCCCCCTCTCCCCCTCTTCCCCCTCTCCCTCCTTTTCCCCTCTGTAGCTCTCTCTCTCTCCCGCTCTCTCTCCCTCTCCCACACTTAGGAATTACATAAATTCCCAGGTTGGCGGGTTTGCCGCTCCACTCAAAGTTACACGTCAAGCCTACTCAAAGATTAGAGAATATTGCGATGTGGGGCTTACATGCGGTCGGGTGCTCCGGATCAGCAAAGAAGCCTGGGATATGTTCCTTCGATGCGTTCACCTGCCCCGGGGCAGGAGAGCTACACGCGTGGTTGCAGCCCCCTGAACGCAGAGTGGGGGAGGGGGCCGGCAGCCGAGGCCTCAGTGTGCAGGGTTTCTGCGTTTCCCCTTGGCTCCCCACCCCCCTTCACTGCGATCCTGTCTTGTTTCTCAAGTTCAGTTTTCCTAGAGAATAGATCTCTGGGCCCTGAGGGAAGAGAGAGGTGCTGCCCAGTATCAGAAGGGCGGGGAGGATGTCTGACTCTGCATGGAGACTTCCAGAGAAGGTTCCCTTTCCTACCCCCTGACCCCCCACACACACCTCACGCCTGTGCTAAGCCTTCCTGTGGGGGGGGGGGGGCAAGCAGCAGCAGCATCTCCTGCTCTGTTCCCTGGGCGCGCGCGCGCACACACACACACACACACACACACACACCTCTGCAGGAGCTCCTACAGCGAGTCCCACTCCACACACACCCACCACCAACTTTGCATTTGCCACCAGGTTTCCAGTCTGGCAATGCTTTCCAAACTCTCTCCACCAGTAGCCACTTAGCAGCACAGAACCAGAGACCCAAGCGAGTTACCTCAAGAAAAGGCAGGTGGGGGGCACCCTGGGAATGCTCCTTGGTGTGCGGTTGCCCCTGGCTACAGCCCTCCTGGCTCCCACAATGCCTTTACTCCTCTCCGGATTGAATGCTGCCCCCTCATGCCCTGCTCTGCGTGTGGCCGGCAAGCTCTACTGCTTGAGCCATCACCTGCATCTCCCAGGGTCCCCATGAGCAGGAAGTCTGCGCCCAGCTTCTGACATTCCTATAATGCGGTATGGAGACCAGGGAACTGACGTCGATACACGGTGTGTGATATTGGTTCCATGTCCTTTTAGCCCATAAGATACGTGACCACAAAGATCTACCCTCTTCAGGCCTTCAGGCACACTCCCTCCCTCAATATAAACTTAAATTTCCCCTCTGTTTTCATCAGTGCTGTTTTATCTGTGCTGTCTGAACTTCCGCTGCTCACAACATGGATTTTTTGGTTTCCGTTTAATAATCTGAATGAGAGAGAGAGAGAGAGAGAGAGATCACTGGTTCACTCCCCCAAATATCTGCAACAGCCCAGGCTGGGCCAGGCTGAAGCTGGGATCCAGGGACTCAATGCAAGTTTCCCAGGTGGGTCGCTGGAAGCCTACAGTCCAACTACTTGAGCCATCACCTGCTGCCTCCCAGCCAGGAAGCTGGAACCAGAAGCCTGTGCTGAGATTTGAACCCAGGCACTACAACAGGGGATGCCGCCCCGCCCCGTGTTGTCTGACCTCCCGCCTCACCACCTGGTCTTTCCATTACTTTGATCTCAGAGAAAAGGAAGCTGATGGGTCCATGGCAGCTTTCCCCCCAGGGCTCAGTCACATGCCCCAGGCCGGTTAAGGACTGGATATCCTGGGGTCAGCTGCGGGTGGGGAGAAAGGGGAAGAATCAACCAGGCTGCCTGAGCTACAGCGGCTGCAGCAGGCAACTTTCTCTTAGAAGGCACAGGGCGGGGCCGGGACACTCAGGCCCAGCCCGGCCGCACATCATCTGGAACACATTAGTCCCATTAGCTAGTCCAGAGGAAAGAACTGGCATCCCGTGTTTACACCTTTTACAAATGCAGATTCTCCCCTCTCTCTGTCACACATACACACCAGTGCCTGCTTTTCCCTTCGGCCTAGAGCTGCTGGTAACACTTTTGACATCCTTTCGCTTTCAGAAGCAAGGTTTCTGTTCCCCTCTCCCACGCCACACGGAATGTAATTGGAGTTGGTTTTCCTGCCACGGTGTCGGTTCTGCAAGTCGCACTCACCAGCCCCACATTTAACCTCCTGCGGCTTCCAAGTGTGAAATCCCATGACTGGATTACATCATGTGCGAGGCCTTTTCTGGATTTCAGGCCCTGTGGTTCAGCAATTCCTGGGAAATCCAGCTACGGACCCAGACAGCGCGGCGCGCCTTCCAGCGAGGGTTTGAAAACCTTTCGGGGCAGCCGGTGCCGCGGCTCACTAGGCTAATCCTCCGCCTTGCGGCGCCAGCACACAGGGTTCTAGTCCCGGTCGGGGCGCCGGATTCTGTCCCGCTTGCCCCTCTTCCAGGCCAGCTCTCTGCTGTGGCCAGGGAGTGCAGTGGAGGATGGCCCAAGTGCTTGGGCCCTGCACCCCATGGGGACCAGGATAAGTACCTGGCTCCTGCCATCGGATCAGCGCGGTGCGCCGGCCGCAGCGCGTCAGCCCTGGCGGCCATTGGAGGGTGAACCAATGGCAAAAAGGAAGACCTTTCTTTCTGTCTCTCTCTCCTCACTATCCACTCTGCCTGTCAAAAAAAAAAAAAAAAACAAAAAACAAAAAAAACACCTTTCGGGGCAAGACTGTGTCGACAGCGCCCTCCTGTGGTCAGATCTGACACCTACCGCCACGCACCACGAGCACAGACACCCCCCCAGTTCAGATGTCGCTGCAAGGTGACCCAGTGCCAGGTGCCGGTCTCCTAACCTCCCCCACGTCTCGCATTTCACCCTCACAACATCCCCCTGCGGCAGGGCGGGGCCGTTGCTAACACTCTATAGCGTTTCTGCTCTGGCCAGATAGCAATGAGTGAGCCACAAAGCCCCTGCGGCGACTTCACGAGCCTTCAGCATCTGCCCAGCGGGGTGCAGATCCATGGCTGCCCCTGGCTTGAGCTGGGGAGCCCTGCGGCCTCCTCTCTCCCCGCCCCAGGTGCCTGCCCCTCCGAGAAGCCCGCCCCTGAGTGCACGGGTGACCCCCGGTCAGGGTGGCTGGGGCTGGCGCGCCCTGTTAATCAGTCGCTAGCGTAGGTCTGTCTATGGGGGGATTTTGTCGACCTGATTCTCAGCTACACTCAGCTGGCATTAAGTAAAGGAGACGGTCTTCCATCGTCTGGTGGGCACGATCCATGCTCGAAGAGCAAACCCGAGGTTTCCCGGAGAAGAAGCAATTCTGCCTGCAGATGGCCGCGGCAGCTCCGACCTAGCCTGTTCTGCAGAGTTCAGATTTGCCTCACTGGCCCGGCGATCCGGTAAGCCCGTTCCTCTCAGTCAGCCAATCGACAACCAACCAGGCGTGCGGGTGAATCTGTGTGTGTGTGTGTGTGTGTGCGCGTGTGTGTCCGACTGAGTCTGCTTTCCCCAGCTGACCCAGTGAACAAGACCAGCTCTCCACCCAGCTGGGGTCATTTTTCCTCTTTGGACCCTTACTTACTCATCTGCGGTTCGTGACGCCACCTGTCGGACAGGGAAGGACCTGCAGCAGATGTCAGCCAGGCAGCTGAGGAACAACTTGACATTTTAACCTTGACCTTGATGGCCAAGGCAACTCTGCGCTTCAGTCCTAGGGAATGCTCATGAATCTTTCAGAAAAAGACTAGAAATGAACTGGAAATGGGTAACTGGACAGGCAACATTCAAAATAGAGTTCTACAAACATAACGCTAAGAAACTCAGTCTTGTGATGGAAGGAAATAACAAGGGGCAGGCATTTAGCCCGCAGTTAAGGCATGGATTCAGAAACTCACGCCGTATTTCAGAGATCTGTGTTGGACCCTGCCCCTGGCTCCCGACTGGAGCTTCCTGCTGGTGCAGGAACAAGTGATTTTTGCCTGCAACCACATGGGAGACCTGGGCTGAGTTCCTCCCTCCAGGTTTTGGCTATAGCTAGGGGGACTGTTGCAAACCCTGGGTGGGGGTGTGTGTGTGTGTGAGCTAGTGGATGGTAGCTCACTGTCTCTCCCTCCACCTCAAAGAAATAATAATAATCAAAATTTTAAAGAAATTTGAATTAAGTCAATAACACATCATGTTCCACTTACAGGCAAAGATATAAAGAAAATAAATGCATATGGTTTAGTATATTTCAGTTATACTTCAATAAAGCTGTAAACAAAATGAAGAGAAATGGTGTTTGGGACATTGCTGAGAAATGGACATTCTCATGCCCAGCCAGAGCGTGTCTGAATTGAGTCATCATTCGGGGAGTGCAGTTTGGCAAAACTTATAAAAACATGAATTATATTCACAGTCTGACCTAGCAGTTCCTTTTCCCAGAATTTAGCTTAAGGAAAATGTGCAAGCTGATGCCAAAGGAGCAACTAGAAATAAACACAAGAAGGAAGGCAGGGGGGAAAGAAAAAGGGAGGACATTCACCCTTACCACACAATTAGATCCATAAATAAAAGTAAAGATACACGAGAATTGACCCTAGTGAATTTATAATAGCAAAACCTTTAGAAGGAAAACAGCTAAATGCATTGTGGTAGAGCCGTGGAATACGATAGTACACAGGCATTAAAATAATTGTGTAGGTCTGTGGGGATTTGCATGCAAAGATATTCAGAAATATTGAGTGAAAAAAGTAGTTTACAAGGGGCCGGCGCTGTGGCACAGTGGGTTAACACCCTGGCCTGAAGAGCCGGCATCCCATATGGGTACCGGTTCTAGTCCCAGCTGCTCCACTTCCAATCCAGCTCTCTGCTATGGCCTGGGAAAGCAGTGAAAGATGGCCCAAGTCCTTGGGCCCCTGCACCCATGTGGGAAACCCGGAAGAAGCTCCTGGCTCCTGGCTTCGGATTGGTGCAGCTCCAGCTGTTGCGGCCATCTGGGGAATGGACCAGCGGATGGAAGACCTTTCTCTCTGTCTCTACCTCTCTAACTCTGTCTTTCAAATAAATAAATAAATCTTTTTTTTTAAAAAAAAGTAGTTTACAAAACAGAATTTGTAATATAATACTTTTGAAAGATAAGTATACAAGAATACATAACAAAATAGGTATACATTTCAGATGCCATAGATTTTTAGAGTGAACATGAGTAACTTTTATAATCAAAAATAAGTGCGGTGTGCCGGCTGCAGCGCACCGGCCGCGCCGGTCATTGGAGGGTGAACCAACGGCAAAAGGAAGACCTTTCTCTATGTCTCTCTCTCTCACTGTCCACTCTGCCTGTCAAAAATAATAATAATAATAATAACTCGTTACCTCTCCATTTAGAAAAAAATTAAAACAAAGAACAAATACATATTATCCTGGGGCCAGCGCTGTGGTGTAGCGGGTAAAACTGCTACCGCAGCAGCATCCCACATGGGTGCCAGTTCGAGTCCCGGCTGCTCCACTTCTGGTCCAGCTCCCTGATAATGTGCCTGGCAAAGCAACAGAGGAATGGCCAAGTCCTTGGGCCCCTGCACCCATGTGGGATAATGGGAAGAAGCGCCTGGACCCTGGCTTTGGACTGGCCCAGCTCTGGCCATTGAGGCCATTTAGGGAGCAAACTAGTGGATGAAAGATCGCACTCTCTAGGGTCCTCTCTCTCTCTCTCTCTCTCTAACTCTGCTTTCAAATAAATAAATAAATCTTTAAAAATATTATCCTAATTGAAGAGGCTTACAAAGAAGTTGCATTTTTTAAAAAATATATATTTAATTGGGTCTGGTGCTGTGACATAGTGAGTTAAGCTGCTGCCTGCAGTCCTGGCATCCCATGTGGGTGCTGGTTCTAGTCCTGGCTGCTCCACTTCCAGTCCAGCTCTCTGCTGTGGTCTTGGAAAGCAGTGGAAGATGGTCCAAGTCCTTGGGTCTGTGTACCTGCGTGAGAGACCCAGAAGTTCCTGGCTCTGGGCCCAGCTCCAGCTGTTGCAGCCATTTGGGGAGTGAATCAGTGGATGAAAGATCTCTCTCTCTCTCTCTGCCTCTCCCTTTCCCTCTCTGTAATGCCACCTTTTAATTAAAATAAATAAATCTTAAAAATATAAATATCTGATGTATATATTTAATTTATTTGAGAGGGAGGGATATGGCCAGGGGAGGAGGGGGGAGAGAGAGAGAGAGAACTTGCTTTGACTCCCAAATGCCTGCAAGAGTCAATATTTGATCAAATCAGAGTAATTAGCATCTCCATCTCCCTAAATATTTATCATTTCTTTATGTTTGGAACCTTCAAATTCCTCTATTTTTAGTTACTTTTTAAAAAAGTTGTAAACAGGGGCTGCCGCATCGCATAGTGGGTTAAACTAGCGCTTGCGATGCCTGCATCCCGTATGAGCACCAGTTCATGTCCCAGCTGCTCCACTTCTGATCCAGCTCTCTGCCAATGGCCTGTGAAAAGCAGGAGATGGCCCAAGTGCGTGGACCCCTGCACGTGCACCCATGTGGGAGACCTGGAAGAAGCTCCTGGCTCCTGACTTCAGCCTAGCTCAGCCCTAGCCATGAGGCTATCTGGGGAGTAAGCCAGTGGATGAAGATTTCCTCTCTCTCTCTCTCCCCACCCCCCGTCTCACTCTCTCTCTCACTCTCTCAAATAAATAAAACTTTATTTTAAAAAAGTTGCAAACCGTAATCACCCACCGCTCTGCAGAACACTGCGGCTTATTCTCCCATGTAACCGTGTTTTCATAGCCCTTGTCCAACTTCCCTGTGCGTCTCCTTTTGTTTAGCCTTTCTGGTCTCTGATATCCACTATTCTACTTACTTCTATGAGTCCAACTTATACTTTAAGAGATTTATTTATGTATTATTTGTAAAACAGAGCGACAGAGAGGAGAGACAGGGAGGTTCACTCCAAAGAGAGTGCTGCAATGGCCTGGCTCTGGGCCAGGCTGAGGCCAGGAGCCAGGATCTATAACCAGATCTCCCACGTGGAGGGCCCCTGCCCTCTAAGCTGCATTAGCAGGAGGCCGGATGAGATCAACTATTAAAACTCCACCTATGAGTGGTGTCGCACAGCACTTGTCTTTCTGTGCTTGGCTTATCTCAGCTAACATAACACCCTCCAGTTCCTTCTTTCATGGCTGAATAATATTCCCTCATGTATATGTGCCTTACTTCTTTATCAAGTAACTCATCCATCACTGGGCACCGTGGTTGATTCCGTATCTTCACTACTGTGAATAGTGCTGCAGTCAATACCACTGAGCAGGTACATTTGATATACTGAGTTCAGTTCCTTTGGATACTTACATACCCAGTAGTGAGTTTGCTGGGTCGTATGATAGTTTGATTTTAGTTTTTTTGAGAAATTTCCATACTGTGTTCCACAGTGGCTGCACTAATTTGCATTCCTTTCTTTGTACCCTCACCAGCATTTGTAATTTTTTTTGTCTGTCACTATTACCATTCTAGTTGGGGTGACATGATACATCATTGCGGTTTTATTTTGCGTTTCCCTAATGATTAGTGATGTTGAGCAATTTTCATTTGTTTGTTGGCCATTTGTATATCCTCTTCTGAGAAATATCTGTTCAGGTCATTTCCCTATTTTTAAACTGGATTATTTGTTTTATATTGTTGGGTTGTTTGAGTTCCTCATAAATTCTGGATTTTAGTTCCTTGTTGGATTGGTTAGTTTGCTAATATTGTCTCCCGTTCTGCTACTTGTTTCTTCATTCTGGTGTTTGTTTCCTTTGCTGTGCAGAAGCTCCTTAGCTTTCTGTTTTTTTTATTTTGTTGCCTGTGCTTTGGGGATCTTATTCAAAAAAAATCTTTGCCGAGATCAACGTCCTTAAGCATTTCTCCTATATTTTCTCCTAATAATTTCATAATTATGGAACTTACATTTAAGTCTTTATTTTTTAAGATTTATTTGTTTGTTTGTTTAAAAGGTATCTCCATCTGCTGATTCACTCCCTACATGCCTGCCACAGCCAGGGCTGTGCCCAACAGAAATCAGCAGCTGGAGCTCTCGGGGTTCCCCAGGTGAGTGGCGAGGATGCAAATACCTGCGCCATCCCCTACTGCCTCCCAGAGTATGTGACAGCAGGAATCAGAAATGAAGCTGCAGCTTGAACCCAGGTACTCCAATATCAGAATCAGGCCTCCCAAGCAGCATCGAACGTCCATGCTGCATTTCATCATCTTGAGTTGATTTTTGTATATGGTGAGAGATGCACATGGTTGTTGAATTTTCTCAGCACTATTTATTTTCTTATTTCCTGAAATCCTGTTTTAACCTGCTATTTTATTATTTTTGAAATGACATATTGTTAATTTACATGAATGCCAGAGGCTTAATGCTCTACTGAATAAAGAGTTCAACACACAAAAAGTACACATACCATCATTCAGCAGAAAAATAGTCAAGGGCTATAAACAATGAAAAGATGTTCAAGTTCACTCACATAAAGTAAATTTTAAAATTCTCAGCAGTGTTTATTGAAGAGACTGTTCTGTCTCCAGTGTGTGTTTTGGCACCTTTGTTGAAGATCAGCTGGCTGAAGGTGTATGAATTCATTTCTGGCTCCATGCTGTTCTGCTGGTCCATGTGTCAGCTGTTTTTTTCCAGTACCGTGTTGTTTTGTCAACTTCTAGTCCACTGATTTGGGATTCTCTGATGTTCTCATTGACTCCGAGGAGAAATATCTCTCAGGGGTGAATTCTGGGAAACATTGTGCCTCTCCTAAAAAGGTCGGATCCTATCGCAGAGCCTGAACCGCATCACTGAGTGTACCACTCTTTGTATTTGCCATAAGAAAGTTCAAGGCCAGACTTTTATTTCCTTGTGAAAACATGAAGAATCCTGTTTGTATTTCTTCCCTGAATCGATGGTATGTTTCCTCCTCTTATTTTGTTTTCACCCTGATTTGACTTGCAAGGGGTCTTTTTAAAGTTCATGAACAATGCGTATAATTTAAAAAGTACACATGGGTTTCCAAATTCTTTGTTCCAAATGAACTTAACATTGATTTCATTTTTCCATAAACTTTTCAAAATATTTCTTTATTTGGCAGAGAGAGAACTCCCGTCCTGTGATTCACTCTTCAAATGCCCACAGCATAGAGGGCTGGGCCAGAACTCAGCATCACAGGGATCCAACTACTTGAGTCATCACTGTTGCCTCTCAGGATGTGCACTGGTAAGAAGCTGATGTCGGGAGCTGGATATCAAACCCAGGCACTGCAGCATGGGATGTGGGCATCTTAGCTGGCATCTTTGCCACCAGGCTAACCACCCATACTTCTTACCCTGAACTGGTTGATGTATCCTTTTTTAAAAATTTTAATCAAAGATTCATTCACTTAATATGTACTGAGTAGCTGTATTGCAAGATTATGCTAAAACAGAATGAAATATGCATGCTCTCAGTTTAAAGGCTGCTCAAGGGGCAGCATGGTCAGATGGGTACAAGATAATGGTCACCATGCTTAATACTATGATGAAAATAACCCATGTCAAATAAGAGCCATGCAACAAGGAGTCCCACTGAGATGGGCAGGTGAGGTCAGGGCAGCTGCTCCAGGCAGCTGAGCCAAGTTCTGAGGTTAGGAGGCAGCCCAGCGTCTGACGAGGGGAGCACAGGGAACAGTGTGTAATGGGATAGGAGTTTAATGCCTTGTAGAAATTGGGAGAATACCAAAGTGGACAGAGCAATCCAGCAGGGTTTGGAGAGCTTGGCGTGGTGAACATGTGGAGTGCTGAGAAGGTGGTGCACCCAGCGAAGCTCTACCCTCCAGCCCCAGGCATCTCCTCCATTTCGATGGTCCTGACTTATGTCCTTTAGAAGGAACGGAGCCATGTGAGTGAAGTGCTTTCCTGAGTTCCGGGAGCCATTTGGGCAAATCATTGAACCTAAAATTGGAGGAATTGTGAGAACCCCAGTTGTGTAGCCACACTGGACAGAAGCAAGAATTATAAGCTGGCTGCCCAACCCTTGTGCCCGGCTTCTGCAGTGAGGTCAGGCCTGTGGGACTGAGCCCTTGAACCTGTGGGGGCTGAAACTGGCTCTGGGGAGTGTCTGAGCCAGAGTGAATCAGCGGACACCCAGCTGGTGTCCCAAGAGCTGGAAAATAGGTTGATATGGAAACCCTCCCCGACCCCTGCACTTGGTGTCAGGCGTAGCGTGAATTAAAACAGCTCAGAAATATTACATACACCCTTAAAAGTGACACAGACTGATCCTCAGAGCCAGCTCTCTAACGGTGTTAATGTATCAAAGTACAGAAATAGTAAGGTGGAGAGATTATGAGGAGAGGAGTTGGCCAGGGACACTAAGTAAGAGTCACAGGGAAGGCTGATAATGAGGGAAGCTTTCCCCTTGAGTTTTCTTCCGAGTTGTGATAGTACAGTGCTTAGTTTCAGCTCTGGAATTCCAACCAGAAGCTTAGCAGAAGCTCCTGCAATGTCAACTAAAACAGTGAACACACAGTCCATGCAAAAGTACTTTTTCAAGAAGGAAAAATAGGCTTTTGCCCTCAGCAGAACAGAGCTGAGGTTAAGTTGGATGAAAGTCCCCATAGATCAACACTGCCTGGGCTGGGGCCAGGTGCCAATGGGTGAGGGCCACACCCCTCTCCTCCACTGGGTTTCCTCCTCCCCACTTCCTTCTCGACACTCTGCCCACTTCCTCTGGGTAGGGACTGTGAATCTCAGTACCAACTGTAGCGAGAGAAGCTCAAGTCCCAGCCCTCGCCTGCAGAGCAGAGTCAACTCATGGGTCTACACTCACACAGCACACACACAGGTCTGCGTCATGTGGCGTGTTTGTTATGCTGGTGACTATGAACCAGGGCCAGACTCCAGGACAGTTCCCTCGTCTGTCTGTCGAGGTTTATAGCCGAGAGTGCTTTAAGTAGAAAAGGGATTTCTCGAAAGGATATCAGGACTTCCAGAAGAGCCAAGTTAGAAAAATCAAAATCCAAGAGCCTTAAGGAAGAATCAGGGGGAAAAGCCAGCCCTGCCGGGAGACAGCAAACAAGGGACTGTGGTTGCCTCCGTGTTCTCTGTCCTTGCAGGAGTCCGTAGTGTGCACAGTGTCACCTGAGTGGGAAAGCGCCGTCTGCAGATGAATATTCTTCATTGAACAACTACGTCCTCTGCTGTTCACTGCTATATCAGCATCCTAAACAAAGTCAAGTACAACCTTGGTTTATTGGCCTTACCAGGTCTCTTCGTTCGTCTCTATGTGGCTATTAAGAGGTTTTGAAGGACAGCTTTCTAGAGAGCAGTTTTTCACCTGCTGACCTCAGAATGCACTGCCCCCAGCATGCAGTGCTGCTCCCAGTGAGCGCAGGCTCCCCACATTCCTTTCTGCTGTAGGCTTCTGTGAACCATAGCCTCAAAGCGGCTTTTCTGCGACAGCCCTACCTCCATCACATATGCCATTACCAGAGATAACTTGCTTTTTTTTTTTTTTAAAGATTTATTTATTTATTTGAAAGTCAGAGTTACACAGAGAGAGACACAGAGAGAGAGAAATGTCTTCCATCTGATGGTTCACTCCCCAATTGGCCGCAATGGCTGGAGCTGCGCTGACCCAAAGCCAGGAGCCAGCAGCTTCTTCCGGGGCTCCCACACAGGTGCAGGGGCCTAAGCACTGGGGCCCAGCAGGGGCCTAAGCTCCTGGCTTCAGATCGGCCCAGCTCTGGCTGTTGTGGCCATTGGGGAGTGAACCAGCGGATGGAAGACCTTTCTCTGCCTCTGCCTCTCTGTAACTCTGCCTTTCAAATAAATAACCAAGTCTTTAAAAAAAAAAGGCATGGAAAATGCATATCCTGAAAAAATTATATATAGTTATATATTATATAATTATAATATATAATTATATATAATTTTATGATATATAATTATATTATATATAATTATATATATATATAAAGAAAGAGTGTAAACTTGAACTTGCTACAAAGACGGCAGTTGCGCACACATTTACTTCTCATGCCAATGAAGGCCATCCAAAGCAATAGGAAGGAGCGAGTGTTTGGCCCAGCAGATAAGATGTTGATGAAGACGCCTGCAGCTCACGGCAGAGTGCCGGGGTTAGTTTCAGGCTCCTGCCTCCAACCTCCTGCTGCTGCAGACCCTGGGAGGCAGTGGTGATGGCTCCAGTAATTGGGCACTTGCCACCCAGTGTGCAGACCTGGGCTGTGATCCAGGCTCCTTGAGACACAGTCAGACCATTGCAGCCAATAGTGAGTGAATCAGTAGATAGAGGATAACTCTCTCTTTCTCTCTCTCTTTCTCTTTCTCTCTCTCTCTCTCTTTCTCCCCCTCTCTGTCTCTCTCCCCTTCTCCCTCTCTCCCTCTTAAATTAATAAATAAAGCAACAGTAAATGCTGCTCAAAAACAACAATTAAGGAATTATTTTTAAAATATAAACTCCAAGGACGGAAAGTGTGAGGAGCTATAAATAGGACAATGTTGAAAACTGGAAGAGGAGTGCACACACCTTGACTGACGGCACTGTTTTGTCCCTGCCTCGCTTTTCTAACTGGCTTTCTCCTCTGCAGGGACTCGGAGCTGGGTGGCTGCAGAGGTGCTGAAATCCTACGTAGACCCGGCAGGCTGGAGGGGTCAGAGGCAGGGGCCTGGCAGGGGCCATGGAGGACCCGCCCTGCTCGTTGGCCACCTGGGCGCTGCAGCACAGACACAGTATTACTGGTTAGCAACTTCAGGATAGGGAGGAGTGGAGGTGGTTAATAGAGGAAGTCAACCTCATTGGAATCAGGTTTGGTTAAAAAAAAAAAAAAGGCAACAAATTCTGCCTGTGTTTATATTTAAAGTGTATATGGAGGGTATTGCCTAGGATACCCCTGGGGGAAACTTGTCCAAGACCCTAGGACTACTTGGAGAGAGAATGAGAGGGTTTCATAGTGTTTGCGGTGCACAGCCTCACCCACTCCCATGGTGTGAGGAAGAGCTACTAACTGGAGCATTTTTATAGGTCATGCTTTAGGACAGGAGGGGATGGCACTGCAGCATAGCGGGTAGAGCTGCCCCCCGTGATGCCGGCAGCCCATATAGGTGCAGGTCTGTGTCCCTGTGCTCCACTTCCAATCCAGCTCCCGGCTAATGGCCTGGGAAAGCAGCAGAAAATGGCCTGTGGGGACCCGGAAGAAGCTTCTGGCTTCCATCTGGCCTAGTCCTGGCCATTGCAGCCATCTGGGGAGTGAGCCAGCAGATGGAAGATCTCTCTTTATCTCTCTCTCTCTCTGATTTTCAAATAAATAAAGCTTTAAAAAATAAAAATATAAACTGAACAGGAGACTGAAGAGGACCTGGACTCAGAAGGTGGTTGATTAGATTAATGGATTGATTAGGAGACCATCAGTCTTGCAGGCTGTGGGTTTCTCTAGAGCAGGCACAGGTCTGCTTCACACTTGTGCTCCAAAGCCTACAGCAAGGCTGATGCTCCATGATAGATCTTTAAACTGACTTCAACTCAGCAGTCCAGAGTCTCTGGTAAATTGCTGGGTACATGATAATTACTCAAGAAACTCAGATTAAACAAGAGACTCAGAAGACAGATAATGGGGACAAGAAAATCAAGGTTATTTTTCCTGTACCAGCAGAGCTCTGTGCAAATCCACGTATTATCAGCACCCCCAGTTGGCCACAATCATTGAGAGTAGCTCCTGGGGCCGGCACTGTGGCAGAGTGGACAAAGCTGCCGCCTGCAGTGCCAGCATTCCATATGGGTGGTGGTTTGAATCCCGGCTGCTCCACTTCTGATCCAGCTCTCTGTTGTGGCCTGGGAAATCAGTAGAAGATGGCCCAAGTCCTTGGGCCCCTGCACCCATGTGGGAGACCTGGAAGAAGCTCCTGGCTCCTGGCTTCAGATCAGCGCAGCTCTGGCCACTGGTGGCCATTTGGGGAGTGAACCAGTGGACTCTCTCTCTCTCTGCCTTTCAAATAAATAAATCTTTAAAGAGGGAGAGGGAGAGGGAGAGGGAGAGGGAGAGGGAGAGAGAGAGAGAGAGAGAGAGAGAAGCTCCCTGTATATTAGGAGCTTCTTGGGAAGGAAGAGGTGTGTGTTGGCCTACACTTTGGAGGGCACAGCTCAGGATCAGGTGGGCCTATTAGTGGAGGCATCTGCGGAGGCTGGCCATGGTGGAGTGGGTATGGAGGAATTGTCAACAGTGGTGAGCCAGGAAGCAGAGTGAGAAGCAAGGCTGAACTCTGCTCAGATAACCAACCCACTTGCAGGAGCCACTTCCGAGGGCAAGCCCCCAGTCATCCAGACTTCCCAGCAGACCCACACCCCAGGTCACAATTCGATCAAATCTTCACTCTTAATCCATTAGTCGACAACATAAGACTTCAGAGTTTAAATATCTGCATGAGTTTAGATAGCCCACTTCTGTTCAATTCATAACATTAGGTATTATAATTAATCTAGAAATGATTTAAATTATACAGGAGGATATGTATGGTTATATGCAAATATTAGGCCATTTTATATAAGAGACTTGAACATCCACAGATTTTTGGCTATCCTGGAACTAATCCCCCTGGAGATACCGAGGGAGAACTGTATAACTCCAGTCTTCTGTAGGTTACATAACTCTGGAGTTGTGCGAAAATTTGGGAGTCATTTAATGCTATTTCACTGGATAAGATTAGCAAAAGAAAGAAGAAAAAGCACTATTAAAACCGAGCCCTGGCATCTTATCTTTATTTGGAAATCAACAGAGAAGCAAAAAGAGAACCTGCACAGGAGATGAGGAAGGAGTGGCCTGGGGAGGAAGGAGAGGGATCGCAAAGTCAGGATGTTCCAGTGGTCCCAGAGCCTTCAGGGGCGGGGGAAACTGAATGGATGCAGCCAAGGCCAGTGCTGCTCACTTTCGCCCACATGACATTTAGTAAAAATAACCAAGAAATTCAGGAGCCTCTGGGACCAGAGAGTGCCTCCGTCAACAGACCCAATCAAGACGGGGTTGAGGTGGTCCCCAAGAGCTAACCTGACTTCTCACCTGTGGGCATGGACAGCAGAAATGGAACCATCATCTTTTTTTTTTTTTTTTTTTTGGACAGACAGAGTGGACAGAGAGAGAGAGACAGAGAGAAAGGTCTTCCTTTTGCCATTGGTTCACCCTCCGATGGCCAAAGCGCCGCAGGCAGAAGATTAGCCTATTGAACCGCGGCGCCGGCTAGTCTAGCTTTTAATTTATGATTTTATATTTTTATAATTAAGTTTGATCATAGTTTTTTTTTTTTTCCTAAGGAGATTGCAGGCAACCTTGGCAGGTGTTCCAGTGGGGTAAAGATGAAGATAGTGAAATTTGTTAGTGGCCTTGACAGTTTTGGTGGGGTGAGTGGAATAAACTCTATTGGGGGAGGTAAAAGAGAAAATACACACAGACATGAAGACAAAAATTAAAAGCTGTTTTTGCAAAGATGTTGATGTGAGCATGCAGTTGGACCTGGAGATGAATGTGAGGGAAAAGAACTGTTTGCCCTCTTTATTGTTCTGTTTTTAAATGTAAGGAGTTCCAGATAATAGTGGATAGCTTAGAAGCCATAGAATCACTTTTGCTGTCAGAATGTCTTCTATGCACTGAAGTTTTATGGATCCTCAAAATTCTTTTATTGAAATCCTAACCTCTAATCCCCTAGTCCCCCTAGGGGGTGTGGCCTTGGTCAGGGAGGTGGAGCCCTCAACAACAGGATTAGTGTCCTTATAAAAGAGGCCTGACAGAGGGCTCACCCAATCTACCATGTTGGGGCACAGCTAAGATGCCATAGGTGAGCTGGGGGGGGGGGGTGCTCTCACAGACACCAAATCTTCGGCCTTGATCTTGAACTTTGCAGCCTCTAGAACTAGGAGCGATAAACTTTGTTTGTTTATTTATTTATTTATTTATTTATTTATTTTCTGACAGGCAGAGTGGATAGTGAGAGAGAGAGAGACAGAGAGAAAGGTTTTCCTTTTGCCATTGGCTCACCTCCAATGGCCACCATGGCTGGCACGCTGCGGCTGGTGCACCGCGCTGATCTGAAGG